CCTCTCCCTGGCAAGCGCACGTACCTGGGTCCTCCAGGCGGCTCTGGGCGAGGCTGGTGCTGCCCGGGTAGGACTGCACCGAACTGATGTAGGGGCTGGAAGCGTGGCTGCTGACCGAGTTGACGTAGGGGTAGCCCAGCGGTCGGGAGAAGGACGAGGCTGAGCTGTAGGCGCCGTCGGGCTGCGAATGGCCCGCCGAGTGTAAACAGTGCATGGAGTAGTGCCCGTGGGACATGGGAGAAGGAGACATTTGCTGGTTGGGCGGCCCAAACTCCATAAACACCGCCTTGCCCGACACGGGGCTGTTGAGACTTTCTGGCATGGTGGTCATGGTCATCTCTTCTCGCGGGGTCTGGGTGTGGGACTTTCTCTCCTCTGCTTCCCTTTTGGGGGTCTCTATGTTTCTCAGGACAGGAAGGAACCCAATTTAAGCGGAACAGGGGTTTTCACTTTCCATTCATAAGAAAATGGAGTTTGTCTCTTTGAAAAGTCTAAGCATGATGCTGCTGAGCTCCCCAAACTCGGTTCAAAGCTTTGACTCAGCCAAGGTCATAAATATTCATGAGCTGGCGGAGCTGATTGGTCCGCTGTCTTGCATAATCACTGGGGATTGGTCCGAGGCGCTCGGGCTCCGCTGGACTAGAGCGGGCGAGGCGGCCCGGCCTCGGGAGAGTCGCATCCACACTTCCCGGCCGGGGCTGCTCTGCAACAGAGCGCGCCGGGCAGGAAGCACAATGGGCTCCGGCGTCTGCGCCGGGACCGCTGCGGCCCGCGGCTCATCGGCCTCCCGCCTCCCTCGCGCGCCTTCCTCCCCAGGAACCAACCAGCGGCTCGGCGCCGCCGCCCCCCTGCCACTGTCCCCACCCTTCAGCGGTCCCTAACGCCAGACACCCTGGACCGCTTCTCGTCGCTGCCACTCAGTCCGGCGCAGAGCTAGGGCTGCTGGGGAGGAGCCTGACCTCTGCCTCTGGAGCGCGGAGTCGCGCACTGGGGGGCGCCCGAGGCGGCCAACAGACAGAGGTCCTCCCAAGAGCCTTGTGCCTAGCGCGGCGCCCATTCGGCCGCGCCTCCCCGGCCCGGGTACGCTCTGCCACATCCCTGGAGTCGGGGCTTAGGGGCCCTCCCTGCGAACTCACTCGCTCGGCCGCTGCGCCGCCGCCGCCGTCGCTCCCTGGGGCCCGCTCGCATTGCTTCAGGCCCAGCTGGCCACTCCAGCTCGAGGCTGCACGGTCTGATTAAAGCAGTGCGCGTGGAGAGCCAGGAACCCGCGCTTCTCCTCCCAGGAAAGGCGACTGCGCCGCCCCCTCCCCCAACACACACATCCTCTTTCCCTCCCAGCCTTCCTCCTCCTCCCCCTCCCTTCTCCACTCCCTTGCGCGGAGAGCCCCGGGCTCACTCGCCCCGAGAGCGCGGCTCAGCGTGGAGCCCAGGGGGCCTAGGGGCTCAGATCTGCTGAAGCCGCGGACGCCAGGTGATCATTTTCCGGCCTCCTGAGGTCTAGCGAGACTTCCAGAGTTTAGGAGTCCCTGGGGGACACCGAAACCCGCAGCAAACCCAGGCCTGTAGTAGGCTCCCCTATCTGTGTGTATACCTCTCGCGTTGCCACCCAGTATCTTTCTCACCTCCAGTGGCCAAAGCGCGCGCCACCGGGCCTAGGGGGCAGGGCTAGTGGAGGCAAGAGATGCCGCTGCTCCCTCTGTCTTCTGAGGTGCTAGGTACGAAAAACTGCACAAAAGCCCCCAACCCATCGCCACTACTACCAATACAGCCACCCCCTCGCGGTGTGGCGCACACCACCCTGGCTGTAAGTGGATGTTGGTTCCCCAACCCGCCAGTCCCACGGTGAATCCCAAATTACTTTGTTAGGTAATTAGAAAGTGTTGATAATTATTTCTTTCATAATTTAGCGGTGTGACGGGAACGGGAAAATGATCTTGTGAAAGTTCACACGTGCAGATGTATTAGTTACTGATTCATTTGATTAAATGGTAGTCTCAAGTGCTCAGATCCGCAGCTGAAGGCGCCCCATTAGCATAACACTGATGTTTAATTTTCATACGCATAATTAGCCATATATTTAACACTAATAGCAACATGCAGCCTTTCAGCGTTAAACAGCTCGGGATTTGATCTGGCCTGAGCTGAACCTTCATCGCTGCACCTTCCCCTGTCTGGAGTGTGCAATGATCACAGGACAAACCTCTGTAATCAAGCGCATTTTGGCAGAGGGAACACCAATAAAAATGAACATTCAAAACAAATTACATCGGTGCTGTCGTTATAGATGTTAGTAGAGGGGGTTTCTCTTTTTTTTTTTAACTTCTGTACCAGCTGCTGCTGCCCGCAGAATTCCTCTCCTTTGGTTTAAGGGCACAGTGCTGGGGGCAGAAATATTTCAGGCAGTGTGGTTGGAGCAAAAAGAAAAACAAAAGAAAAAAAAAAAAAACCCCAATAGGCCAAACCAATAACGGGTTTGCCAACGTTTAAAAGATTTTTTTTTTCTTAATCACCGAACCACACGGTGAGGCTTTGTAGCAACAGCCAGCTAATGATTCCGCCACCAGGCAACTCCTGGAGCCGCTCGGCTCGTCCTGATTTGTGTGTCGCACTTGTGCTTTTAATTGCTCCTTACTAGTGCCTGTTTTAGGGTGCGGAGTGCCATGCCGTGTGCCCAGCACAGTCGCTTGGATACTGCCCGGGCCCCGGGTCTCTTGCGCGTGCCCTGAGGGCCTTGCCCACGTAAGTGATCGCCGTGGCGGGCGCGGGGTCGGGGTTGGAACCGGGGAAAGTGGAATTGGTAATTCCGGGAGCTCAGGGCAAGGCGTGAGGAAACCCGACGGCCGGGCTGCCTAGGGACAGTGTATTCCAGAGACTTGCAAGGAGGGGGGAAGGGGAGAGACAGCCCCACTTCGCGACAGTCTCTTGGGTGCTCTGTGTCCACAGCTGGAGAGGGATCAAAGACTTTTGCGGCAGCACAGGGGACCTGGTTGCCTTCTTGGAACAAAAGTCCGGCATGCGCCCCTCGGGATACTGTTTCAGAGCCTTGTTTAATTTAGAAGCGGATTGTGTGTGAGCAAGACATGGCTACACTCCGGAATTATTTCTTAGCCCAGAAAAGCAGGTTTAGGGAGGAGCACTGAGCAGGGGCCCTCTCATGCCGAGCCGCTGGCAGTAGCTGGTTTCTCAATGTGGGATCTTAGCCGCACTTTGTGAGCTTGGAGTGGATCCCTCCCACTCTCTACTGCTAAGGTGACACCTGTTCTGAATGCCGGTTTGCTTAAATTGTTGCCTGCCCTCACTCTGAGAGAAAACAAAACCCTCCCATTTGTCCTGAGGGTCCTGGATTCCTCACGGAACCTACTGGAGTCACCTCAGAACCAGGAGGTCCTGGTGGTGTTAGCCACAGCCACTCTTGGCTGGAATCCCAGTGGCTCTGGGTGAGGTTTTGGGCCAGTTCAGCTGGAAGAGGGACAAGAAGGCGTGGACGAGGTATTTTTAAATCTACTTCCTAATCTCAACTTCAAAGCATGTTAAAAGGGAGTTCTTTATGGAGCTGCTGAGTGTTGGTACACACATACACACACACATATACACACACACACACACTTTAGGTTAGTCCCTTTAATAAATGGAATTATAAACTTGTCCCATAAATACCTCCACCTCAAAATAATTGCTGCACAAGCAGCGTGTTACCTCAGTGGTTGGTAAAGTCCTGTGGTCCTAATAAAAGTATCCTTGGGGAACCTCGGAGTAAACTGCTTTGCAGATAAGATACAATACTAATGGTTGCAATCTGATTGCCTTAGGAGAAAACTGAAGTCATTCTCCAGCAAACATCTCCCAAGGCCAGCTGAACCCGCTTGCTCTTTAGGGAATTCAGATCTTTTGGGGGTGGGGGGTGGGCAGTAGCATCAGCCTGTGGGCCTCTGCTTGGCCAACTTCTGACCACATAAAAAGTTTTTCTATGGACCTTGTAAATCGCCAGCCACTCCCTGGTCTTTTCCAGTTCTCAGACTCACTAGAATCAGAAACACCTCTATCCAAAAATCTAAAACCCTGGACACAAAGAAGCTGAGCTGGAGGGGTTGAGGGACGACGGGGAGAACCCTGTGTTAGATAAAAGCTGGAACTCATCACTTTTCCGAGCCGGCTGGTCCTCAGTTTCCCGTATTATGAGTGTTACAAAGATGAGCTGGCTCTTAGTCCTGGCCAAGGAGACCACCCGTCCTGGCAACTACAGGTGCCATTTCCTTGCCGCTTCCGAAAGCCCAAGCTATTTTTAAGGGATGTCAGCTTTGCAAAACCCGCTTCAGTAGAAACCAGAGTTAGCACAACCATTAACTGCTTGAAAACCCTCATTGGACTTGTTCCTAAAATCATAACCGGAGGCAGACGGCTTCCTTCGTGGACTGCCAGAGGCCTGGCCCCTCCCTACCCTTGAGCTCAGGTGCGGAACTGGTACTGGAGAGCAAGCGCAAGGGAAAGGAGGGTGCTCTGGGGAGGAATGGCCCTTGGCACACACAGCGTGGGTCCTTGGATTCCTGCTCCTGAAGCGGGATGGAGCTGCCGGCCGAACTGGAGTTCAACTCGCAAGCTTCAGTCCCAGCCAAGTAGGCCCTTGCTCTCAAATGCGCCGGTATCTCCTCTCTCTGGGACCCTCTCAGTTTCCACAACAGCTGACCTTTGCGGCTCCTGCAGCGTGCGAGCGCAGGTCCCGATGCGAAGTGGGCCAGTGTGGGGAGGGGTCATTTTAGAGACCAGACCGCCCACTAACCAGTCACTGTACACAACTGGGCGAGTGGGGCCCAAGCTCGAATTCCTAGTGCAGCAAACGGTCTAGCGTGCGTGCGTGTGGGGTGGTTGGGGGCAGGGCCTCAAACTTGACCTCTGGGATGGCCTTGGAGGGCTGGATGTGGGCAGGGGAGGAAGAGCAGCAGTGGTCCAGGAAAGTCGCGTTTCTGGATTGACAGAAACCCGAAGAATGGCCAGGCCCAGAGTCCACTGCCAAGGACATGTTTGTAATCAATGCCTCTGTTCGCAGGCTAATCTTTCATCGCAAAGCCGCGATGGAGGGGAAAGATACGGAAGGGCTGGAGTTGGGGACTGGCTTCCGCGAGCATCCTTGGGGCCGGCCAATGTGGGATACACAAGAGGGAAAAACGGATTTTTAAAAATCCCAGTCAACAGGTTGGGGTTTTTCGGCAGACGTGCAAAATTCAGACACAAAGATCACTGTAACTGTCAGAGAGGTAAGGACCTCAGACACAATGGATTTAAGAGGTTTTTTTACTGGAACAGTCAGGACAAGGGAAAGAGAAAACCGTGCTTCTCTTGGAATCTCTCGTCTTCCAGACGAAGGGGTTTCCTCCAGTCCCCTCCAGATGCGTTGACCGCGCTGGGAAACCGAGTCCAGGGCCAGGATTTGTTTTTCCATAGCCGCACAACCCCGGCAGGGCTTCAGATCCGAGTTCCCAGTTGCCCTCCAGTCCCCCGCCCGGGTTTTTCCAAGATGCTATTAGGTGCCACGTAGGTTACCGCATGACTGGTCATTCCCGTTTCTTCTAAAAGTTCTCTAGCCAGATTTCAGCAATTTATTTAAAAAGGCACCCGGTCACCGCGACCTTCGGGCGGCTCCTCAGGCCTCATGGGGCAGTTTGGTCAGGATCTGCGCGCCCCTCGACGTGATGAGAACCGTGTGCTCGAACTGGGCCGACCTGTAACACAGCACCCAGCCGTCAGAACGCGCACGCAAGCTCCGGCCGGGCGGCAAGAGCGCCGTCGGACCAATCTTCCCTTCCCATACAATTTAAAAGCAACGGGGCAGAAAGCACCTTTGATTGTCTAGGGAGACTACAGTCCATGCATCCTCCAGGACTTTAAATTCAGGGGATCCCTCCGTGATGATTGGCTCTGTAAGAGGAAAAATATTTACTGCAGTGACCTCATCAGATTCTTGTTAAACATTGTTTCGGGCTGATTATTAAAAAATAGAAGTTTCTCCTCCCTCCCCTCAAGTGCTTCCCCCACAGGCTCATGTTGTCATCTTGCAAGGGTTGATAATTGATGTTGCTTACATAGTATACTACAAACTAAACAGTAGGAAGAGGAAACACTATGCCATTCAAAATGTATGAAGTTGCCTAGTTCGTAATTTTTTAGAGAAAGAAGGGCATTTTAATCAAGCCTTAATTAGGACCCCGTGGATAATAACCACCCAAACACCAGTCCCTCTTATAAATACGAATTTTTTTTAAAAATTTCAATTTTAAAACCATGCTCAAAATATTCATTCATCAGCAAATAACAAATTTCTTATTTCACTCTAATTGCTTCTCTATTAAGTCCCACAGTCAGAAATATGATGCCTTTATGGCCCTAGGTGACTGGAATTTGGTGGTGATACCAATCACAGGATCAGCCAGGAACCGGCCACCAGAGAGCACATGCCACTTGCTGACAGGGAGCAAGGGACATAATCGCGCCTAGTTACTGGGTGTTAATGAAAAAACAAAACAAAACAAAACAAAAAACCCAACACCACATTATGCTGGTAACAGGATTAGAGGTTGGATGGCTGCCTTCTCCTAAATGTGTCGGTAAGTATCTGATTTAGGAAGATGGGGCTTGAGGATATTATTTAATCAGATTTCCAGTGCATCTGAATTATTTCATTACGCTGATTGGCTTTATTAGTCCTTCACCGGACTGCCGGGCCTAGGCCAGTGGCAGCAGCTTCCATCAGGAGCTACGCACTTGGAAGAGGAGCTTCATTTACCTATAGTGAATGCCATGCCCTCCTCCATGGGTAGATCATTGTCATTTGCTGCAAAACAAAAAACATCAGAGGGGGTGTGAGAATAGGAAATGGGGAGGACAGAAAAAAACAGATTACAGGGGTCAGGCCCATTGAAAAAACTTGGTCGTTTTATTTCTCTTCTTTTAGAGAAGGAAGGGTGGAGATTTCTGGAGTCCTGGATAGTGACCAGAAGTTAAACATGGGGCTACTGGGCCTGAGTCTTTGCATTATCTGTGCTCTGGGTCAAGACTCCCCCAGAAGAGTTTTCCAAGGCCTGGCAGGGGCAGACTGGGTGTTTCAAACACATGTCAGGCTTCCTCTCCCCCTCTCTCTGTCCCCCAGGCTACTAGGTCTCCCAGCCTACTGGGTCCTGGGTCTCACCCACACCCCTCCCTCAAAGAGAAAGAAGTCCTGGGGAATGTTGCAAAGGATGGCAACCTCCTTTGGTGCAGGTTGTGGGGAGCAGGGGCCTGACTTCAAATAGTTTCACTCCAGACATTGGCACCAGGTAAGGCACAAGGCTGACAAGCTCTTTCTGCACTCTCACCTGAACCTCTTCTGAGCTGCCTAGGTGGGGGCTCTTTGGTCCAAAGAGGGTTCAGACCTGCTGGGTGTCCTGCGATCCTCCAGGGCATGAGTCCCAAAGAGTAGTCCTTCTATGGACCAACCAAGTCCATAGGGGCACAGGTCAATGCCCCAGGACCAACTTTCCTTTGGTCCCTGTCCAGGTGTGGACCTGCCTTGAGGGTTCTCCACTGAGCTGCCTCCTACCTCAACCCAAATCCTCCCACCCCTGCGGACCCACACCTGTCTTCTCACTATAGGGTGCACACCCAGGCAGTGAAAAACAGGAGATTCTGGGGAAGGAAGACAAGGGTGGGCATAATCTAGAAATCTCTAAAGAGTACATGCTGCTAAATACATCAGCTGTCAACGCTGTGTAGGATGTAATGAAGTTTAACCACAACAGTCAGCAGCTAGAAAAGGGGGTAGAAAAAGAAAAACAGAAAACAGTCATATGTGCATGCTGCTGGGACACTGATGCAGTGGCGTTTTGTTTTCAGTAACTCTTTCTAAACAAATATCCCTTGTGCCTTCCAGCCATACACCCTTCAGGAGAAGACAGAAAACAAAATAAACCTTATTTTGGGATTGAAACAGCTGGGCTCTAATCCAGTAACACAGTAATGTCCCGGTTAAAATTAAGCAGACTCCCCTCCCCTGCCCACCGCACACAAACACACACACAAACACAAGGTTGATAATGCAGATTCAAAGTCAGAGTAAGAGTTCAGGGGCAAAGCTGCCACATCCTGATCTCTGATGAACAAACAGCTTCCAAATGAACTTTCTTACCATGATGCCAAATTTCTGGATGTCCATGAAAGTAAGATCCTATTCCATGTCCCACAAAATGTGGACAGACTTGCAAACCATTCTGATTAGTTATGTGGCTTTAAAAGTGACCAAAAAATATTTAATTAAATTAGGTAAGTTTTTCAGGCATACTAAGATAAAACAAAGTCATGTTAAAATATTCTCTGAAAAAGAAAAAGTTAGTAATATTTAGAGTCAGATAATAATATTCATATATTTTCATTATGCTGTAATAATTTTAATTTTTGCTATTGCTTGCAACCACTCTCTTTGGATATATGAAGAAAGAAGGTACATATCTATCTAACACAGTCATTTGAGTCATTTACCTTTGTATAGCATTCAAACAAAGCCACTTTTAGACAACAAATGAGTATGTATACACACATAGTGATTGCCATACATAACCAGGATACATGTGCATATAATGCAGGTCATAAAAACCTGCCTGGTTTTTTTGAGATTTCACAAAAAGACTATAAATTACTCCTGATTGGGGAACCAAAAATAAAACAAATTACAATATAGAAATATGACTTACTATGGTTCCCTTTTTCTGCTCTATTTCAAAGCGTTATGCATTTTACCAACAGGCACACTCACATGAAAAGCTCAATCTACTTTGTCAGTATTCTTGAAACACTCCAAAACTGTGAGATCATTTGAGAGTTCCATTCAAGACCTGCACCATTAACAAAATTCATAAAGAATGCTTTTTGATCACTAGGATGCTTAAGATAAGCTAGTATTGTGATTCCCAATTCTTAGTGCTTCATTAGTTACTTCATTACATGTATGTAATGAAGTACATTGCATGTACTACATTAGTTACAAGCAAATGTTTTACGTTCCATCTGAAATCAAGCACAGAATCCAACTCTAAAATCTTTATCTACAAGATTGAAAAGTAGTCCTTGAAATCAGCTGAACATGTTTATTTTGGGGAGCATCAGACAAACAAGAACATATATACTATTAAGAACTTATATTTTCAGGTGGACAAAGGGCACAATACCCCTAACCCTAACAATAGATTGGGATTTACAGGACTACTATTTCAATTATTAACAGAACTAAGTTTCTAGATCTCAAACTAGAGTCTCAAACTGACTCTTAGTTTAACATGAACCCAAAGACTTTCAGCCAGCATCTTTATGGTCATTCATGTCTATGTTTTTTTAAATAATTTTAACCATCCCCAGACTTGTAAGATAGCTTCACTTAGACCAGGATGTCACTATAACCAGCAGATGGGCAACCTCTTATTCAGATTTAATTTTGATGTAACTGTTAGTGCAGAAATAGGTAAGCAATGCATATGTTGAGGACAGGAATGGTAAGTCAAGGTTTTTATCTCTTATGTTGTACTTTATGGTTATTTCTGTGGATCTTTGGTGGGCAAGTAATTCTATTTGGTGTTTCCCAAGGTGTTTTTATTTGTGCCACACAGTTTGTGAATAAAAACTGAGGATGAAGAGTGAATACAGGTGGAAGAAAGATGATTAAACAGGACATAATAATCTAGATTTTTTTATATAAGCAGTTTCTACCAAAACCTGTAAATTATGTTAGTTCAATCCCAACAAACCTCAATGATTCTAAGAACATTCAATATAAACTATTCTATTTTCTCTTCTTAAAAAAAAATCTAGGTTTTTTTTTTTTTTTTTTTTTAAAGGATCCGGCTGATTGGCAGGCATCACGGCTACATCTTAAATGTGTGTTACAATGGCAATCTTCATTTTAATTTCCGATGAGAGGAGAGGAAGAAAGCTCACTCTGAAAAAACACTTGGGGTCCCTCCCCCCATCATACCTCTCGTTCCTCTGCATAAAAGAAGCTGTGCAATTACTAGGTGGCTAAAGATATCTGAGAGCATTCTCTTGTAACAATTTACTCCCTGGGTCCTGCTGGAACTTCTGGCTCCAGGAGTATCATAGAATCTATGTGTCATGGATGCAAAGGTTAGAGGATTTCACAGCCAGGTGGAAAGAGGAAAAGAACAGGCCAAATTTCCCCCGGTTGCCTGCCTGAGTACATCTTAATGCCTGACTCCCAGGAGCTGAGTATACACTCCTGTTTGCTTTTCAGAGTATTTTCCTTTTGGATTGGTAGATGGTTTTTAGTACTTACTGGAACTAAGTCAGATAGAATCTCATTAATATTCCTAATTAGTGTTTAAAAGCATTCCCTTTCTATTATTTTGGAATAAATGGGGAGCACAAGATTATTTACCTCATTGTAGGGTTTAAATCCAAATTCACAGAGATAACCCAAGTGACCAGTAGTAGCAAATTTCACTCCTCTAAGATGAAAGAAAGTACTGGTAACCCTTACTGTGGCATGGGAAGTTGGAGTGTGTCTGTACCCCTTGACTGGCATGCTGGGGAAAATGGAAACAGCAGGGCAGGCAGAAGCACCCAAGTACTCCCAAACACCAGTCACCACAGGCCGTGACCCTTTTCTGTGCACAAGAGTTTTCTTGCCCTGAACATTTCACGGATAAAATCTGTCTTCGCTCTGCTGAAACCTACTGAAAAGAACTCTCCTGGTGTTAGCTCTTCTGATTTTCTCTAATTAAAAATCCTTTAAGACAGTATGATATCTACTCATGAGCCCAAGCACACTGATGATTTGAGGCCTTTTTTATGGAATATTTGGAGAGGGAGAGGAGGATATATAAAGGTTGTTTATGAACTTACTTTCCTATTATACTGTCTTATTACAATTTGCGGTGCAGATACAGTTTATACATGAAAAAGATATCTCTTGCAAGGAATTTCATCTTGTGACCATTTTCTTCAGTTTAATTCCTTTTCATGAGGCAGTTATACTCAATTTAAATGTCATCTGGGTAAATTAAATTTTTAAATACCTTTCAACTACTTTTTTTGACTAAAAATACATTCCCCAAGAGGGCAGAGGAGTACTATGTTTAAGTACAGGCTCTTATAAAGAAAGAAAAATGCACATGAAAATAGATTATTGCCAATTTTACATTAATCCTATAAACAGCACTAATCTCCAAATAGTCACATCTCTAATAAATGATCTCAAATGGCACGCTATTTCATGTTATGAAATTTTTCTTTACTGTTTCTAGATATTTATTTTAGGCAGTACTTATGAATGAAGGAATGCACAAATCCAGGGATTCCTTCTAATGAAAAGGAATGTTTAAGTACAATTAGTAATATTTTTGAAAGCCAACAACTGTTTTCCAAAAAGTAGTACATTTTTTTTTGTTTCAAACTAGATCACAAATTACTGTATTTTTCTTACAATAGTGCTGAACTTTTATTTGAGGTTTTCTGTTTCTGAAAAGCAGACATGATGGATTGAAATAAAAGATAATTTATTGCAATGCTTACTTTCATGTGCAGAGAGAAGCAGTATAATTGTAATTTACAGTAGCTGTCAAGAAAAATCCATCACAGATGACATTAAAATGACTTATTTTGCCTGAGCCACTTATTGTTTAAATGTGTGTAATCTAATAGAAAGAGATTATTTTTTAAAAATCTGCTTCATATTGTTCCAAATTAATATCAAAACATATAGTTATGAATTAAACATTAAAAACCATTTATTGATACTTTCATCATGACATTTATAAGTTTAAATTATTTTTGATTGAACTGTCACATATTTATGATGCATGAATCTACACATTCACAATATACTCATATGTACAGATTGTATAATCTAGAGATAATTATAAAAATACAGATTTAGAAATATTTTAAAGCAAATGGAGGTTCAGTGAGTCTAATAACACTATGACCTAAAGATTACTAGGCATTCCTCACACAGCAAAAGGGCCCAGAGAGAATTCTTTCCATTAAAACATTTTAGCTGATACTTCTTCAGAGACATTATCTTCTTTAGGTTTCAGAGGAGAATTCCAAAATTTCCTGTAAAGATCTCAAGGTTTTTGATAACATAATACTAATACAAGTTGTTTGTTCTTTTCCTAGTGTATCAGTAGAGATAGGCTATGCAAAAGATGGTGAATATCTTAAAATAAACAAGACCGAGTTGAAAGATGTTTGTAAACTTTTGGTCTATAATGATTTCAAGTACTTTTAGCTTAAAGGTAAATATGGTTTATTTACTTATTCCCCTAAGATTTTGCCAGAATAAGAAAAGGCAAGATAATAGGTGTCCAGAAACACTGCTTTAACACATCAGAACAAACATTTGTTAGAATCGGGGCCAGTTTCCTTTCTAGTGGCAGACATAAACCATCTAAATAATGAAATGTATTAGGGTACAAGTAAAAAGTTCATTGTCTGTTATTTTCCACGTAGTTTTTTTAAGTGCAGTTGTTGGGACTGATCTGGTTTTCAAAAAAGCTTGTACATGCAAATTCATAGTCTGTGAAAACTGACCTTGTATCCAGATAGCTAAAATCCAATGTCACTTTCAATTCTACTCTTCTTCTTCTTCTTCTTCTTTTTTTTTTTTTATGTAGCTAGAATTAATGTAGTGAATATGTAATGAAATGCATTATCCTGCATGGAGATTTATCAGATTTTCCAACTGAATGCTATGCTTTGCTAGTACTAGCTGGAGTTCACCTGCATGTTGGTGTGGCGTGTGGCTCTTTTTTGTAAAGAGTTAAGTCGTACACAAAAAAAGGGAACAAAGGTCAGCACCCAGCCGCCACTTGAATGTGAGATTTTTCTTTTTATTCCCCTTGATGTATACTAGGCTCTGTGTTATTAGTCTTAATGATGGAAAATTGTAGTGTTGATACAAATCTTTTTTTCAAAGTAGTAGGCGGGAGCTCCATTTGTTAGTAAGTTTTTTTTGTGACTAAAAGCCATGGACAGTACATTTATGTAGCAGTAAAAGGCCTAGATGCTCTTTCCATAGCAGAGCTAATTATTCCTACTGTGACCTTACTGATCTAGCCTGTTCCTAGTACATCTCATCTGCACGCCTGTTCCTCTGTGTAGATGGTGTCAGAGAATATGAAAAACCCTATAATGAAACCATTTTCATGATGGAGAAAGGCTACTGGAGTTGCACTTGCTACAAAGAGGCTCAATTATATGAGTAATTGTGATAATTTTCTACATTCATAGCCTTCAATGGGGAAAAAAGAATGAGAGCCACAAAGGAAAATTACTTTAACAAGAAAGTACAGAGAGTAAAAATGGAAGAAGAGACAAAAAGGGGAAAAAATAACCAGAAAAAAAGTTTAAAAAATAGATCTGGAGGGAGGAATAGCGAGACAGGGAGAACAACAGAAATGCTCAAAAGCCCATGTGCAGCTGTGTTGCACAATTAAATTGAATTTTTTTTTCTGCAGTTGATGAATGTGACTACTGCAAATGTGCCTCTGTAGTTAGCTATCATTTGTTGTTCCGTGACAGGAAAAGGATAATTACCTCTCAGAGAGAATCAAAGGCTGACATGCCCTTTAGACACAGCCATGAATGCAGAGCTCGATAGAATGCTTGAATAAGAATCTAGTGTTCTCTGCCCCCTTCTACTGAAGAATAAATTTTGTTAAAATGCAAGAGCACCACCAGTAAATTTGTTGAACCCTAGGTGTTCAAAAATATGAGGTGCATCTATCGACTCATCCCATTTGCAAAAATAAAACTGCATTTTGAATTCATTTCTATTATATTCATGGACAGTAAGATAGTGAGATATGCATTAAATTTCTTTTCCCAGTAGGGGTCTGATTCAACATTTCCTATGAAAGAACAGAGAGACACTATCCTTTTTTCCCAGGCTAGTTAGCCTATAATTTAAAACTGTCAAAAACACAATTTTGTTCAAAGTCTTCAATAAAAGCTTCTCAGATATAACCCAAAGAGATTTTACTAAAGTTTGATTCAGACACTGTTACAATATTTTTAAAGCCATAAATACATTTAACTGATATTTTACTGGCTTTTTTCTTAAAGTATTTGAAGGCTTACGAAGAAAAAAAGGCAGCATCTTTTCAAGGTGACTAAGCCTTCCATCCTTTAGACAAATGGGAAGTATTCAATGGTTCATATTAATGAGAACAGTACTTTAAACGATGCTGATGTGATCATCTTTAACAGAATGCATTACTTTAAAATGAAAACATATATTCGGCATGTCTACCTCAAAACAGTTACGGGGGAAAAAAAGACCTAAAAGTAGGTAACAGATTACAAAGAAAAGTCTTAAATTCAGAAAATACACATACACATACACTCAAAAAGTAAGGATAGAATACTCTGTGAAAAATAAACAATGGTTTACAGGAAAAATGAACCAGACAAAAAAAAGAACAGATCACCCTTTCAGGCTATTTGTTAATCTGCCAATTTGAAAGGTAAGGCTTGCTTGAACTAACACTTTATTATCTTCATATCATAGGAATACATTTCACTTCATTCCTTTATAAAATTTAGTTTTTCTCCTGTCTTATTAAAAACCCCAGGGTTGAGATGCTCATCCCCTTCTTAGGTACTCCCTTCCATATTTGGTGTGATTTTGAATAAAGGGAAACTATAGACCAGTACATCAAGCTAAAACAAAAGCAGCCATGTAACTATTGCTTACTCCTTCTATAAGTTTCTTTGCTGACCCTGGTATAATTCACTTTTATAAAACCTTTTTTTTTGTTTTTTTTTTCCAACTCAGGGAACAATATTGCAGCCTGGCAGTTCACATACTGATATCAGACTGAAATGATGGTTCTGAATCATAAAACATGTCATCAACTTTATACCAAGCCACCAATAACCTCTGTACCATTTGCCAACCCTCCCTTTACTTGTCAATGTAAGGCTTACCTGATTGTGTTTCCAATTACAGAGAAGGGAGCCCCTGCTCTGCAAGCTGCAATTGCTTCATCTCTACACCTCCTGGCAACCTCCACTAACTTTTTACCACATTCGTCCACATTGCCCACCAAAAATGTTTCAGAGGTGTCTCCATGGTAGCCATTGTAATAGACCTAAACATAAGCAGAAATTTAAAAATATGTCCTTGTTTAAAAATCTACTATCCTAAAGTATACATTGTATTCATTTATGTATTTAGTAGACTCATGTGTTTTACCCTTCCAGAATTATTCATTTGCCTATCAAAAAAAGAATAGATATATTGAAACTTGCAGAAACTTAAAAGATGAAGCCATGCAATTATATTGCAAAATTTAAAAACAAATGTGTTAACTAGTATGGCTATTTCAGCGTTATGATGAGCAATACTACTGTAATATTTTGATTCCTCACTTTATTTCTGAGAAGACAAAATTACATAAGCAAAAATTAGTGGCCAAAGACCTTGATCTACAATTACCACAGCAGGTTTAGAGAACTAAGGAGTATTTAACATAGTGAAAAGTTTCTTCCAGGTCATGAAGACTTATTTGATCTTGTATTTACCAGTTCTACATTTGAAGTGATATATAATGACAAGAAGAAGTAGATAGACATGTTTGTATTATAACAGACAAATAGGATAATTCAGTTCTAAGAACAGAAGTGGTTCCATATAGGAATAAAATGTGTTACGGAAAAATCCTATGTCTAGAAGTGAAATCTTTTTTTTTCTTTTTTTGAGACGGAGTTTCGCTCTGTCTCCCGGGCTGGAGTGCAGTGGCGCGATCTCAGCTCACTGCAAGCTCCGCCTCCCGGGTTCACGCCATTCTCCTGCCTCAGCCTCCGGAGTAGCTGGGACTACAGGTGCCCGCCACCACGCCCGGCTAATTTTTTGTATTTTTAATAGAAACGGGGTTTCATCGTGGTCTCGATCTCCTGACCTCGTGATCTGCCCGCCTCGGCCTCTCAAAGTGCTGGGATTACAGGTGTGAGCCACCACGCCCGGCCAAGAAGTGAAATCTGAATCAAATGTTCCAGATGGCCAAATGTTAAGAGAAAGCACTATATATGGATATCTAAAGAATTAGAATATAATAAAACAGGCTTAAAAGCACATTTACAGAAAGGATAATTTTATCATTCTTCAGTGATTCAGAAGCCAAGTAGGATCTTGAAAGATACCAGATTCATTATAAATCAATGATAACCAAGCACTATAGTAAATATAAAAGGCAGAAGCGACTGTTTGGATACTGATCCTTTGATGTAGCATGGAATTTGCTACTTTGCATAAATTTGTCCTATCTAATTACTTTTGACATTTCTCTTGCTCATAAGGTAGAATGTAGAAACTATTATAAAAAAGATGTTTATCTGAGCTTTCAGTCTGTTGTGATACTGAATTAATGTCTTAAATCGTATACTACTCGGCATTTCTTAAAAAAATGCTCTCATACTGTGTGAAGGAAGCAAGAAAGGTCTTTATTAGATCTTCAGTTTATAATTCAGGAAACTGAGGCACAGATAAGTAACTTCTTTAAGGTTGGTGGCTAATACACAGGTACATTCAGGTTAATATGATGGATTATTGGCTTCTAATCGAGTGTTTTCTCTACTATATCAAATTATCTTAATTACCTTGCAACAGAATAGTGTTTTATACATTTACTCCCATTTACAGTCCTTTGCAATCCAGGAAAGCATAAGTTTTCATTTTATACACTTGGCAGTATTTCACTTTGCTTCATAAGTTTTACAATTTTGAAATAGTTTGAATGTTAATAATGAAACTATTAAAAGTCTTTAGGAAACTTAGAAAAGGAATAGAATATTCTCTTTGGACACATTGGAAACAGTAGGGAAGAGTATGCTGATTTCATTCAAAAATTCAAAATTTTATATTCTTGTATTTCATTCAAATACAAGAATGCTATTTCAAAATACAAAATACTATTTCATTCAAAATACAAGAGGCCAGGCGTGTGGCTCACGCCTGTAATCCCAGCACTTTGGGAGGCCAAGGCGGGTGGATCACGAGGTCAGGAGATGGAGACCATCCTGGCTAACACAGTGAAACCCCGTCTCTACTAAAAAAAAAAAAAAAATAGCGGGGCATGGTGGTGTGCACCTGTAGTCCCAGCTACTCGGGAGGCTGAGGCAGGAGAATGGCGTGAACCCGGGAGGCAGTGCTTGCAGTGAGCAGAGATTGCGCCACTGCACTCCAGTCTAGGCGACAGAGCGAGACTCTATCTAAAAAAAAAAAAAAAATACAAGAATATAAATTTTGCTAATATAGGTGTAGTCAAGAAGATGTATAAATGAATGTTTGTATAACTGTTTCTTAAGTAAAAATGTACTATTTTAAAAAATCTTTATTCATCTTTTCGTATTACTTTTTGCTAGCTTTGAAAATGACTACTTGAGCCTGGGTGCAGTAGCTCATGCCTGCAATCCTTTGGGAGGCTGAGATGAGAGGATTGTGTAAGACCAGGAGTTTAAAAACCAGCTTGGGAAACATAGTGAAACCCCATCTCTACAAAATTAAAAAATTAACCAGGTGTGGTGGCACATGCCTGTAGTTCTAGCTAAGGTAGAAGGATCACTTGAGCCCAGGAGTTCAAGGTTACAGTAAGCCTTGATGGCACCACTGCACTGCATCCTGAGTGACAGAGCAAGACCCTATCTCTGAAAAAGAAAAAAAAGGAAAGAAAGAAAAAGAAAAAGAAAGGGAGGGAGGGAGGGAGGGAGGAAGGAAAGGAAGGAAGGAAGGAAGGAAGGAAGGAAGGAAGGAAGGAAGGAAGGAAGGAAGGAAAGAACATCAAAACGACTGCTTGAGACTGGTGCAGTGGTTCACACCCATAATTCCAGCACTTTGGGAGGTGGAGGCGGGCGGATCACTTGAGGTCAGGAGTTCAAGACCAGCCTGGAACAACATGGTAAAACCCTGCCTCTACTTAAAATACAAAAATTAGCTGGGTGTGGTGGCGCGTACCTGTAGTCTCAGTTACTGGGGAGGCTGAGGCAGGAGAATCACTTGAACCCTTAAGGTGGAGTTTGCAGTGAGCTGAGATCCTACCACTGCACTCCAGCCTGGGCAACAGAGGGAAACTCTGTCTCAAAAAAAAAAAAAAAAAAAGACTACTTGAAAGATTCACTATATACAGAAATACAATACTTTTGAAAGTCTGTGGTAGTCATCTACAATTTCTATTTATACCCACAAACTAGTCTTGTCTTGTACTTCGTTTGTTTATTTATTTATTTTTTGAGACAGAGTCTCACTCTGTCACCCAGGCTGGAGTGCAGGGGCGTGATCTCAGCTCACTGCAACCTCTGCTTCCCAGGTTCAAGCAATTCTCCTGCCTCAGCCTCCTAAGTAGCTGGGATTACAGGCTCCTGCCCCCAAGCCGGGCTAATTTTTATATTTTTAGTATTTTTAGTAGAGATGGGGTTTCGCCATGTTGGCCAGGCTGGTCTTGAACTCCTGACCTCAGGTGATCCACCCGCCTTGGCCTCTCAAAGTGCTGGGATTTCGGGCATGAGCCACTGTGCCTGGTCCTTGTACTTCATTTATTTAACAAATATTTACTGAGCAACTACTATGGACATTACATTGTCTTTAAGAAAAACATTTTTCAATTTTAAAGGGGGGAAGGAAATCTATTTTCTTGTGATGTATACTAGACGTAAATAATTCTAAAATGCAATGAGTATTTTCTGATAGAAATATAGGATCTGATAATGGAGTCCTTCACTTAATAAAATATTTTATAAGAAATGTAATTTGTTAAGATACGGACCTATATGTTTCCTAGATTCCTTCACATTTCTAGACACTTGGAAGTATTTCACTTTGCTTTATAAGTTTTACAATTGTGAAATAATTTGAATGTTAGATACAAAACTGTTTATTAAGTATTCAGGAAACTTAGAAAAGGAATAGAGTATTTTCTTTAGATATACTGGAAACAGTAGGGAAGAGCAGCTGACTTCATTCAAAACATTAAAATGGTAACATTTCATGATAGGGTGACTAGATGAGATAATAGATGTAAAACCCTAAAATCAGATACAATCCAAAATAAAAGTGTCTTATGAAAAGCACTTTATTTTAGGTATGCTTCATAAAATACCTCCTTCTGCATGATTCTAAGTTGGAAAGATACCAACAGGATGTATGTGGTGCAAGTGTTCAAGCATTTTAAGTATGACAAAATGATACAGGAAATAGTATCAGCAATAAAAGAATCATTGGCTATCTCCTCATATGACTGATATGAAGAAAAAAGGTTGAGTTAACTTAACTAAAAATCAGACTGAATTCCACCATTGGATTCCTATTTTTATCTCATTCCCACTCCTACCTAAGTTTCATGGTCTAGTTACTATTCTTAAAAACACTTCCTTATTAATAGAAACTGTATTCCTTGAATGTTGTCATTTCAACTAGTTCTCCTAAGATGTTTAAATTTTGTTTATTTATTTAAAATATATTTGTTAATCATTAGATGTACAGAATTTATTTATAATCTACATAATCCAAAGGTATCATTACAAAATTCTTTAATAAATAGAAATGTAAAAGTACACATAATCCAAGTCTGAGAATGGTAAAAGGCTAAGAAAACGAGAAAAAGTTACATCTTGTACAATTTGAAGTCCCTATGTTAAATTACTTAGGCTTGTTACTTAAAAGAAAGGCTATTAACCATTTGGTGAAAACTTAAGTTCAGACAAAAAGCCCTCTGCTTACTTTGAGCGCAAGGCTCTCTATACCAGAAATGGAACTCGACGTTACCTTCAGGGATTTTAATAAATCTAGGGAACACTGCTAGCAAAAGAGTTGCTGTCCAAATAGACTGACATACACAGGCCAATGTAGCCCCTAATGACAGAGTAAGATAATGACAGGCCCCACTCAAAATCAGCAGGAAGAGGAAGATCAATCTTGGCAGAGTGAAGGAAAAATGCTGGCTTTCTTCGTGTTAGCTCATCTCATACATATCTAGCTTCAGCAGCTGCCCAGTGCTGTGGTGCTCTGCGTTAACTACACAGTGGATCAATAACAATTACACCTTCTCAAAAACATGACACATAGCAGGATTGGGTTGACATTTCACTTAGGCCAACATTGATCTCAGTGCATCTGATTGCAGCCCTAAATTCAAGTCAGGCCTGGGTTTACTTGGAATAAACACAGAGTTAAAGACAAAAAAGGAAACCAGCTGCTTGCGTCTGGGTCTAGAAGTAAACAGCACTTCCACTGGTGCAGTTCACATTTTCAATCCACTCTTCCTGTTGCTACCAGCAATTCTGAAGTTGATCAAAGACGATTTTTTATATGATTTACTCACTGTGACATCAATGTTGATAATATCTCCATCCTGAAGAGGTCGACTAAAACGTAAACAGAAAAAAAAAAAATGGTGATAGACAGATCTCAATAAAAGGAAAATAAAAATAAATACTTAATGACTACTGTTACAAACCCAATGAGTCGCAATGATAATTTGGAGTGAAGGAGGAATACAAGGGATAACTAAATCTAATCTTTAACTTATTTCAAAAGATGCACTTAATTTGTTACCTTAATTTTGCCAAGAACCGAAACGAGAGTTGATAAGAAAAATTTGCCACATTTGGATTTTTACCACTTATATGATTAAAATATAAGAAGTAAAAGACATATGTAATGCACAACTCCCATCTAGATTACGCACTGCTTTAACACACATTAAATGGTGGTATTGTGTCCATTTAGAAGTAAAATACTTTAAAATTTCTGTTTTATCATAATCAATTTCAGAAGTTTACTGGTGGGTTTCAATTGAATGATAGTGTCTTTCAACATATGTTACAGATCTTAGCTTTATGTTTTAGTTTCCAAAGAACAATATGTTATTAAGAAATGAATACCTGTCAGGAATACCATGACAGAGCACGTTGTTTACAGAGGTACAAACAGATTTTGGAAAACCTCCATAGCCTAGAGGTGAGGGATAGGCATTATGACTGATGATTTCCCGATGAACAAGAGCATCTATCTCTTCAGTTGTCATGTCAACCTAAAATGTTAAATAAAGAAACTGTGCAGCAACAATTGAAGACATTTCTTGTATTTATTAACTATGCTATAGCAACAGCACTTCCATGTGAGACTGTATAAATTTACTGTGATAAACTTATGGTACAACAATTGAATTAATTATGATTAGTGTTACAATTCTCAACTGTGCCTCGTGGACAATCATTTGGGCATGTGATGGTGTTATGGACCATTAGGAAATAGAAATGTTAAGCCCTATGATCCTCTAAATCATTTGTGAGTCACTAAATGACATAACTCCCTTTTGGCCTGAGGATTTCAAAATTATGTTCTTCAGCAATTCCTTCCTCTTTCTCAATGGTTGGTGCCCTGGGCTACCCAGCGCATATGAATAAATGCTCAAAAGGTTCATCAGTTGAACCTTGAAAAACTTGAAAAGTAGGTCAACCCACATCTTTTTATCTCAATAAAACATTACAGGGGTTTTGCAGCAATGGCATAGAGATTATGGTTGATATTTAAAAGAGTGAGTCTAATACATTTTGTAGAGACTTGATTTTAAGTAATCTTGATTTCTTTCATGTCTAAATAAATAAATGTATTTCTAAAAATATTTTTTCCTTACTAAAGGTATTCCAAACGAAATTGCTCCCAAACTAAAAGAAAACTGAAATTGAGTTTTATAAGTATATGAAGACTATTTCCATAAACTCTATAAACATAAATAAAATTCTAAAACAAAAATAAAATCTTTTATTAAAAATTAACCATTTCTTCAGTAATTTTCTTCATTATTTTATATATACATTATGTTTAGTCGTTTTGTAAGTTTGGTACACAGAAGATACTGTGAGTGATTTTATCTTTGAATCTCACTTCCTAAATTCTGCCCACCTTTTGGCAGAAAATAGGCTCACATTTTTCTTTTATAATCCTTATATAGAATGGTGCTTCAGATTATTATGAAAGAACTAAATGAAAGAACTAAATCATTTTTTTTTTTTTTTGAGATGGAGTCTCACTCTGTTGCCCAGACTGGAGTACAGCAGCATGATCTCGGCTCACTGCAACCTCAACCTCCTGGGTTCAAGTGATTCTCCTGCCTCAGCCTCCCAAGTAGCTGGGACTACAGGTGCTCGCCACCATGCCCGGCTAATTTTTGTATTTTTAGTAGAGGTGGGGTTTCACCATGTTGGCCAGGCTGGTCTCGAACTCCTGACCTCAAACGACCCACACACCTCGGCCTCCCAAAGTGCTGGGATCACAGGTGTGAGCCACTGTGTCTGGCCTGAAAGAACTAAATCTTGTAATAGGAAGTTGTATATAATTGCATTGCTATATTACCTACAGCCTTTTGTATGTGACCTGATCTTTCTTTGCAGGGCAAATGCAAGAAAATAGGAGACAAAGGACAAGGTAGAGCAAATCTTCAGGCACACAGAAATAATGTGGGGAGTACAAGCTGAAACTACAGGCAGGAGTAGGGGGCAAAAATCAAAGCTGTCTGCCATTGATCAACTTGGATAGGGTGACTGAGACCAAAGTATCTCTAGAATTCTGCTAGTTAAAATTGAATTTGGGTTTTAAATTACTTCTTGAATAAACACATAAAATAATAAAATTCCTTTTCCCCATCCCAAGGCTTCACTTATTTTTTTTAAAAACAAATTAGATGTGTACAAAGGAAGAGTTAAGGATAAGGAAAAAAAAGAGGAGTGTTTGTTGCCCCTTATGTAAGTCATCCTGAGGCTTGGTGAGACGCCACCTTTAAACTCTTCCCAGCCAAGAGGAGGACGTGGCGGGCCAGCTGACAAGCCTGATGAAGCCCTTGGATCTGATCTTCATTCTTAACTTCTATGCTGTCTCCCCAGTCTGGTACAATGCCTGTCGTCACATAGTCTGGCTTCTTTATGTGCTTGAGGAAAAAGGATTGAAAACGAAGATCAGAACCCAGCGCACGACAATGGGATCATTTTTTCAGACACAGCCTACTGCTTCATGGAGCTCTGCCCTTCCTGCCGGAGCACCGACCTCCGAAGCCAGCACAACAGACCCTCCAGGCTGCCCCTAGTTCCTTCCCCTGCCCTTTTGAACTTAACATTGCCTGTTAGTGCTGCCTCTGGATGGTCTGTTAACCTTACCATGCTTTGAGTCAAACTGGACTGAAGCAGACTTCTGGTCAAAACAAACAGTAGTTTTCTCTTTTTCCTCCTCCCAACCCGGTTAGAAGCATATTCACCACTGATGAAAAACAGCACCAAGCTTCCAATTCACCAAATGGTTAATTAAGAGCACTTTCGTCTTCTTAACGCAAAAATATAATTTATGCAAAAGATAGCTCCCAACACCCTCTCCAAATGAATATATGTAAAAAGGCTGACTGTCAAGTTCCCTAAAGCCTATTGCATATACACTTTTCTTACATGTTGTAACCATACTCAACACTGAGAGGCTAGAATAAAATGAAACAAGTTTTGTTCTTCAAGTACATAAAAATTACCTAAAACATTTCCATTATTTGTCAAGAGTAAACAAAAAGCCACCCCAAAACTCAAGACATGCAACCCTGATCACTTTTGCAGACCATTCTCCACCATGGGCAGTATTCAGAAAATAAATGCCATCTTACACACAGAGCTTCTTTCAGTCCCAAGGTTTTGCACAGCTCTTTACAAACTATTTATAGTTTATAATGCATTACAAACTATAAGCACTGTTGGACAGTCCACAGTAAGGCTCCACAGCAGTTTGGGACAGGAATCTGAGGGAGATAACACTATTCAATTGAAACACCACAGCAGCTCTGGAAGGGCTGAGGTTAGGGCTCTCCTCTTTGTGAAGCCTGTCCTGCAGGAGTTACGGCTCTTCATTTACTCCCTTGTTCAGATGGGTTTTCTGATACAGGTAACACTACTGCCTGGTTTGCCACAGCCGAGCTCCGGAGGAACATCTACTCTCCCACAGCTACACCACGAATGCCCACAAATGCTCACCAGGTCTCCCCCACAGAGCCTGTGTCTTGTCTCCACTCTGCTCTGTGATCTGGCAAGGTTATCACTTGCAGGCAGAAGGGCTGTTGGGTTGTCACGCTGAAATTGACTGAAATGGCTAAAACAATGCAATTCACCTCACCAGAGATTTATCTTTTCTTCTAAGGAAAAAAAGTGTCAATTTTGTGACTAATACCAAATTCTCACTCTCACTGTGACAGGCCAGGGAATACATCCTGGTGGCCTTTCTGTGTCATTGGCCTTTGCCATAAAAGTGGGCCACTCATCTTCAGAAGTGTAACGTACTAAATGTGGGCTCACTGTAAAAAAAATTCATAAAAGGGAGAAAGCAGATGATTTTTGTGACCAATCTATATTTCTTTAGCTATTCTCCTTCTTCCTAAAGGGCTTGCTCGCACATTCTCTTTATATTACATTTTGAAAAATGGATAGATTGCCTTTCCACAGAACTGTAATCTCTGGGAAAAAAAAAAAAAAGACTGCTCTGAGACATATTTTATTTAATTTAGTCTAAAAGACGATTCAAAGACACCAGCATCAATAACAAGGAAAGTATAAGAACAGGCTTTAAAAAGCTAGTATGCTAGTTTTAAGTTATCTCTTTTGAATCATCACGATTTTATAATTTTTTTTTTCTCTAAAACAGAAAACTACGCACATATAGTTTTATCTTCGTGTTAGAAATTTAATATAGAAAATTTCACGTTAGAACTTTTAATTCTAAATACACTAAGCAATTGAAAGCTTAGAGCTTCATTTTAAAAAACTAATGCTATAGAACTGTAGGATATTAAAACTTCTCAAATCACAGTTTTAGATCACAAACCTAGTTTGAAAATTAAAACCCAAATGGCTCAGAAATCAAAGGTGCAAAAATATTTGATCGCTCTGCAGTCAACTTTTATCTTGGCTGGAAAAAGCAGCAGATAATAGGCAATACAGTACCTTAGGAACCGGATGAGCTGAAGAAACTGCAGCCGGCAAAACTATACTGTGTGAAATATCTCTTTGTCTCCGAAAAAAGAAATTTCTTCTTTGTTGACGGCTTGACTGCTTGTGTAAGTAGATATGATTGAGTGGTGAAGAGAAAATTCTATGAGAACCTGTGAGCAGAAATAGACATATTCTAAGTAAAAAACCAACCTAACACAGTGCTCCACTTTAAGATGTTGTGGCGTTGTCTATTAAATCATTATTCTAATACCTTATTGACTGAAAAAGGAAAAGCCCCAAATAGAAAGGAAAGCAGTGGTATTCTGAGTTCTAGTACAATAGTAACAGTGTATTTATTAGCTAATACTATGTTTACATAAATGCGTGACAATGGTAAACGGGAAACAGACATATAGAAACATCTGCTAAGCACCAGGGCTGTAAAAAGAACAATTTCTGCTGTGATACCTTATGTGACAATGTCCAAGACGACCCTAGATTCAGGGTACTGTTTTGATGGCTTTATACTCTGCAAAGCCGTTTTCCTTTCAAGAATCACAGACAAATTGCCAGCTGCACTTTTTGCCCTCCATAGGATTACTACTCTGTGTTAAGTTCACGTGCAGTGAGGCATTATACTGAAATTCATTGTGATGAATGTTCAAGTCAGATAAAGACTAAATAGCAAAAATGTAAGTATAACACTGAAAGAAAATGAATATAGGGTTCAAAATACTCACAACAGGAATTTAGAAATATCTATCAAAATTTTAAATGCACATATCCTTTGACTCAGCAGTTCATCTCCTAGGACTTTATCCTGCAGACACTATGCAATGATGGATGTATGAAGATGTATCGTCCTTGCAGCATTATTTGTGGTAGAAAGAAGTGGGAAACAACTCAAATGTTTCCAAATAGGAAATACCAGTAGGGGACTGATTAAATATATTATGGTATACTTACAGAAAATTCTGGAGCTATTAAAAAGAATAGGCTAAATCATCATCTCTATGTGTTGATACGGAAAGAGGTCACAATACACTGTTAGGAAAAAAGTGAATGCTTAACAAATACATATATAAAACCCATTAATGTAAAAGGAGCTTATACATTTATATAAGCTTGCACATGCCCATACAATTTCTGGAAATTAATATTCATAAACAGTAGCTCTTTCTGTGGCATGTGGTTGGGGCTAGAGGTAGAGAGGAAGACTTTTTTTTTTTTTCTTTGAGACAGGGTCTTGCTTTGTCACCCAGGCTAAAGCACAGTGGTGTGATCATGGTTCACTGCAGTCTTGGATTCTCAGGCTCAAGGAATCCTCCCACTTCGTCCTCTTGAGTAGCTGGAACCACAGGCACACGCTACCACGCCTGGCTAATTTTTGTATTTTTTGTAGAGACAGGGTCTTGCTGTGTGGCCCAGGCTGGTTTTAAACTCCTGGGCTCAAGCGATCCTCCCACCTCGGCCTCCGAAAGTGTTGAGTTTACAGGCGTGAGCTACTGCATCCAGCCAGGAGGACATTTTGATTCATTTTATTTCATTACTTTCATATTTAGAACAATCTTTTTTTGTTTGTTTGTTTGCTTGTTTTTTGTTTTTTTTTTGAGATGGAGTCTCACTCTGTCGCCTAGGCTGGAGTACAGAGGCTCGATCTTGGCTCACTGCAACCTCTGCCTCCCAAGTTCAAGCAATTCTCCTGCTTCAGCCTCCAGAGTAGCTGGGACTGCAGGGGCACACCACCAGGTCTGGCTAATTTTTTTGTATTTTTAGTACAGAAGGGGTTTCACCATGTTGGCCATGCTGGTCTCAATGTCCTGACCTCATGATCTGCCCGCCTCGGAATCCCAAAGTGCTGGGATTACGGGCGTGAGCCACTGCGCCTGTCCAGACAATAGTTTTAAAAGTCCCCAACAGGTCACAACTACATGGCAGGGGTCAGAAAACTATAGCTCAAAGGCCAAATCTGGCCTGCTGACTGTTTTTATATAGCACAAAACCTAAAAATGGTACATTTATTAATGGTTGAAAAAAACTTTTTAACCCAATATTTTGTAATACATGAAATTCAAATCTTGGTGCCCATAAATAAAAGGTTTATTGGACCACAGCTACCCTCATTTGCTTACAAATGTCTATGGCGGGTTTTGACCTACAGTGGTAGTTGAGTAGTTGTGAACATGTGTTCCACAGAGCCTAAAAAATGTACTCTTTGGCCCTCTACAGGAGACATTTGCTGAATCCTGGTCTAGAGCAGTAGTCCTCAAAATGAGGTTCACAGACCAGCACTATAATGTCACATAGAAAAAAAATGCAAGGCTGGGTGCGATGGCTCACGCCTGTAATCCTACACCTTGTCTCTACTAAAAATACAAAAATTAGCTGGACATGGTGACGCAAGCCTGTAATCCCAGCTACTTGGGAGGCTGAGGCAGGAGAATTGCTTGAACCCGGGAGGCAGAGGTCGCAGTGAGCCAAAAT